GGCAGGGGCGTTTGATACTGAATAACCTCACAGCAGGTGTAAGGGTTGATACTAGGAACATACCTTGGACAAACTGAGGATTGCCTTCAACCTGCAAAATGACAGTCAGAACGCAGTCTGCGTACATATCATTGACAGGATTCGAAGGCCACTAGGAAAGAAGAACATTAAATTCAAGTTTTCGTTTCATTTCTAAGATTTATCTTCTTTTGCTTATTTTATACCAAGAAGTCAACGAAATATTTTTAATGATGGCTGATAATGGGATCAAAAATAAAATGTTTAGGAAAACAATCGATTTATGAAGATCAATAGCTCGTGCAAATGGTATAAAAATAAATTAAAATAATTTTAGATAATTAAATTTAAAAAAATAAAATGGTTTAAAAGTAGTGCACTACGGATGCCCTTTTCAATAAACAAGTGTACTAAAAGTTCATTGCGGTGTCAACTGCGTGATTCACTAACACTACGTAGCTGCGGAGGAGGGGATAAAGACCCCTTCCCCCAAAAAATGCGTCAGCCGGGAGTCGAACCCGGATCGATTGCTTGGAAGGCAACCATGCTAACCGCTACACCACCGACGCTGTTATATATCAGTGGAAACAGAGAGGATATGAATGTTTCCCTGAGGGGAAGTCGTTAGGTCCTACGGGTGTGTGGATCATTTTCAAACTGGTTTTGAAATGGTTCGCTGCCTCCGGATGCGGGTGGCATATAAGTGCGGTTTGAAGGCGTAATAAGCGTTGAGCAAAAGTCTATGCGGAATATGACTTTCTTAAAGAAGACTATTCTTTTACCAAACGCGCAATGCAGAGAGAATCTGGGTTGCGAAGAGGAAATGTAACTGCGCAGGAGAAACAATAGAGAGGACGTGAACATGACTTTTGACGTTTGCAGGACCTAATTAATTATTTAATTAAAAATTAAAGCGCTCTTACCATTCTCGCAAGATCTAGTCACACTGGAGCCACTAGTCCCTTATTCTTCAATTATTCATCCTCCACAGTCACATTACTTCATCGTAACTCGGACAATTGCGTTCAGTCTTATCATGAAAAAATACTTCGGGAGGAGGAGTTTAAAGCGGGATCCAAAATGTTACTGGAGAACTAAAAATCGTGAATCCAGTGGCGAGAATTGTAAGGATAAGCAAAGGGACAGTTGCTTCACCCTACCCCCGCTCAACTAGATGTAACTCTTAAAAAGGAAGTCTGAAAAGTCATATATTGTGACTTGTAACGGGGGATGGAGGGAGGAAAAGCCGTTTAAATAAGCGCTTCGGTAAATTCACTGCACTTGTCTCTCAAATAAAAAAGCTCGATTCCAACCACTGCATTAAGCTAAAGCGAAAATTGGCAGTGAGAAAAAACTGTTGTGTACCAAAAATGGTTACCTCTATAATAACACTGCCTTTCTCTTGATAGATCGTAATCGCATCAAAGACTTTAAATGCCTGTTTTCCTTGGATTTCCAGCTTCTCCACTTTTCCAGCTAGTGTTTGAAGGCAGTAGTACACGATATTAAACGGTGCGCGGAAATGGAGAATCTGTCGTTGGGTTATGCTGCTTGTTGCTAAGTCTGTGTAATCTGTGGCAAAAAAGAAACAAAAAAATAACACGTGTAAGGATTTGAAGCAGCCATCTGTTTTCTGTTATTGGTAGACACAAAGTTCGTTGATATTTTGATGTGCACCGTAAGGACAGCTTGCACGGAAAAACTAGCCAATTGTACTAAAATGTACTAAAAAGAAATTTAACAACCAGAAACCCAAAAGCTATTCGAAAATTTCTTATATCCTTATACAAACGACAAAGACGTTTGCAGCATACACCAAAGAATATAAAAAATGTAAGAAAATGAAATAAAATATAGAAAAAAAAAATATAAAAAAATGTAAGTGAAGCTTCATGACGAAAAAAGCGAATCCCATATTAACGGAAACTTTTCAAAAATGTTTTTGAAAAGGTGGTACCAATTATAGTTGTGCTTAGTAATGAAAATAAAAACAAATTCATAAATGCAAGTCCTTAATGAGTATGATTCATAGACAACAAATTCAATAAAATACTTACTTTGCAGATCATTTGGGGACATGATATGATAATTGAACCCCCTCTTTAGAAGAAGGCCAGATATACTTTTCCCATTTGCTGGCTGTTCGGACGCTAAACTTCCTATAACCTAACATAAAATACAAATAGGTGATACCTTTATTAGAGACAACATTAAATAAAGAAAAATATTACAGCCTAAAGGTTTTGCTATAACTTAAAAATAAGAGCTATAATACTCAACTTCACGACACAATGAAGAGCATTTAAGCTAGTTTTGATGAAGCATAAGAACAGCCTACTTCAGCTGCAAAACTTAACATTCATCGAGGCAAGTAATCAATGGCACCATGCCATTCTCACATATTATCATAAACAAATGTCCAAGTATATCAATCAATGGAATAGCAAAAAAAGTAGAGGCTCCATCAACCCTTCTTTAAACTTTGAAGACATTATCAAAATCCGAATTATATCCCCCACCCTAAACACCAAAGAAAGAGCCTTACCTTTGCCATTTTCTCCCCTCTGAAGTGCAGCTGTACACTTTGAACATTTTTCGGATTGTAAACTTGAATGTGACTCAGCTAGAAAGTTGATAAGGTAAATTACTCCACCGAGTTTATGATCAAACGTGCCTCACAATGTCAATCACCAATTTTATAATAAATCAACCAATTGGAGCCAAAACATGGCACGTCTTTCCTCTACAAATTCTGCTAAAAGCTGTTATTATACATACTAAACATACAATAGCTGTGAACGCATCATAAGATGTAAATCAAAATATTTTACAGTCCACAGCATTGCCATTAAAGACATATTTCATTGCCATTAATTCTATTGCCTAATAACGAACCTAACATGAAAGCAAATTCTTGCTCTTCAAAGACGAACAGTGTAGATTTAGTTTGCTCTCACATCCCTCAAGCGTAGATTACAAATTGAACATCAAACATTTTTCACATCGCAAACTTACAATTTGCAAAAAGCAACAAATGATGAATGAAGACGATAAATTTGCAAACATACCCCCTTTTCATCAAAGTCCCTGATTAAGGCTGCCTTCAATCGACTCATTTCGTTCTGTTCCCCATGGACAAGGACCTAAAACGAGAGAGAAAATAAAACTATCATATCAATCTTAAAACCATAGAGCGAGAAACCTGTTTGAATCTAAATGCAAGATTCACGAGGATTTAGGCCATCAAAACATCACTAAAACTAATTACATTTGAAAAAGATGAAATTGCACATTTTTCTTCTGGAATATTTTGTAATTCCTACACTGAAAATTTTCGTTCCTTTGAGAACAGCGAAAATTTGCAATCATTGAGCAGGCATTTAAGCTGAACAAATCATTACAATCTCTCAGCTTTTATACAACAGCTTTAAGGGGCGTCATTTTCTTCATCTGAAAAGGATAATAAGATGAGTTACAATGGAAAACTGAAAATTGAAAAGAGGTAAGATGCACTTACAATATGCGGTGGCTTGAGGATATTCACAAACTCGTTTAACTGCTCGTAATCGGCGTGAGCAGAGAAGGAGATGTAGCCTGTCAATAAAGAGGACGTTTGTTACAGAGTAAGAGATAATTGGTATATTAATAAATGCCATGTGAAATATTTACATTAATATGAAAAAAGCATTAATAAAGCAATGACCTAGTAGATAGGGCCTACTAGTACTGAGCCTATGCACATCTCGGTTGTCCACCAATGCACTTGCATATTGCACAAGAATCACATCCGATCACGTGAAAAATGCTCGCATTATCAAGAACAAAAACATCTAATCTCCTTATGCAGCGTTGGACAGTTTTCCAACACAGCAAAATATTATATATATCAAAAAGTCACTATTCCGCTATCGGGCAGCATTTACTGGAAAACCCAGATTGTGTAAAAAACTATAATGGCGACATATTTCGGATTATTGGTAAAGCACGATCGTCATTCCACCTAGCAGTTTTAGAATCTATCTACATAAACACAAAAAACCGCTATTGTGTAGACAACAGGAGTTCGTTTTCACCTTAGGACTCTATTGATAACATTCTCAATAGGCAAGCGGCACTGATTGGGCAACCTCAACAGTCGTGTGCTCGCGTTTCTGATTGGCCTTTTTCGATCCACGACTGGGTATATAATTTTCCTAGCGTATAGTTTTCGATCTATGTTCTGACGTTTTAAACTCTGAAAGAGTGTCAGGCGAAAAACTTTAGTTTACTCAAATGTTTGTTTTTTTAGAAAAACATCATATATAACAATATAAATTGTAATGATAAATTAACATCATAAGAAAAAGTGGAAGAGCTTTGAAATAATAGACACGATATTGGTTCACTTACTGACTTGCATCTTCAGCGGCAGATTTTGACCGGACATTGTAACAATTTCTTCTGGTTCTCGCATCAAGTCCTATTTAATATAGAAATAGCTTATAGCAAAATATGGGATTAAAGCTAAAGAAAACCGGATATAACTGTCCCTGTTTATTACAAAACAAAAACATTTCCAAACAACTTAGCACTTTTGTCGGCATTTCTATCTTAAAGTACTTAGCCTCAGATTTCGGTGCATTTATGATGACCCCCCCCCACCCCCCCCCGCCCTCAATGATTCACACTCCTACTTCACCCCACTGGCCATCCAAAGCGAATAAAAGGCTCTCAGATTTCGATGCCATCTATGATCAAACCTCTCACACCTCCCCCCCCCAATGATTCAACTTCTACTCCACCCCAGCATCCAAAACCGAATAAAAGCCTCTCAGATTTCGGTGCATCTTAATAATACCCCTCCACCCCCCCTCCCCAACGATTCAGCTCCTACTTCACCCCGGCATCCAAAAACCGAATAAAAGCATCAAACTTCGTTGCCTCTATTATGATACTTGAGACTTTCTTGATTATGTGTTTCCTTAAAGAGTCTTGTTCAAACTACAAAATGTATATCTACCTATACTTCTCATGACAATACACATGATATCTTTAAAGCATTGCAAACATTGTAAAAATACTATTTCAAGCAGTACCCTGTTCGAAATTTACTAGAAAAAAATACAATATTGAAGCCAAAAGTTAAAGTAAAGAAAGGAAGAGAGTGCTTTTGGCCATTGTGATCTGAGCATGATCAGGATAATTATTGATTGTAAAGATCTGTTGTTTGATAAATTGATAGATGAAGTAAAGATTAACATTTGACGTTTTCAACATGAATTTTAAACAAACCTTGGCTAATGTTCCTTCGACGCAGTAGCCAGCAATGATCACACCATTTTTTCTATCTGCACACCAGGTTTCGAAAAGCTCTCTTGATAATCCACTCTGAAAGATATTTTTGGTATGATTAGCAATGATTTCAAATCAACTTTGTAGCTGCCAAAAGGAGTTGATGGGAAATATAATCTGGAAACTTGCATCCTTGCTCGAAGAAAACGTTAAATAGGGAATACCCTAAAAAAGAGCATTACAAGACAGACTGGTCATTTTAATAAAGAAGGTCTTAAGCTTAGTCTTCGAAGGACTTCAAATAGCAAAATGACTTCAAAATTATACTTAGGTAACTCAGTACATTTATATACCATGATTAAAAACACACATACACGAACAATTATATACACGATCGATATATTTTTGATCGTGTGTGTTGTTTTTTAATTATGGTTCATAAATGTACCGAGTTACCTAAGTATAATTTGTCATACAACACACGGGGTCTTTTAAAATCCTTGGCCCAAAAAGCCAGTGACTGAAATGACTTCCAAATTTTTTTTCAATTGTTTCTGTATAACAGACCTTGCAGCAAATGATTTCACCAAGGTACAGCGTATCTAGAATGTAGCCGTTTTTAAATGGCCTATTTGCAAGGAAAACGTCAAGATATCAACTTGCACTTGTAGGGAGCTTGAAAGCTCACACAATATGCACGCTGATGCTTTCTGGGATTTCTGAAACTGAGAAACTACTGCAAAAAGATACAGGTTTGCATCATCATGGAGACACGTTTGCATTTCCGTGTACTTTAAGGAATTTGCCTTTAACGTTGATCGAAAATCTCAGAAAATAGCCTATATTCATGTACTCCCTTGCTAGCGGAAAATTATACCTCTAATCGTTATAACGGCTAGACACCAAACAGGTCTGTTTCCACTTTTCTGTGGAAACATATTAGAGGTTTTTCCTTCTCTGAAGCAAAAAAGATTTAATAACAAAGGTAACCAACCTGCATCATTCCTGGACTTGCCATCACAACAGAGGGTCCGATATCATCGAACTGATCAATACTCTAATGTTGGGTGAGTAAAAAAGGGGTATACTTAAAATAATTTAAATCTAAAAAACTAAATTTCAAATACTCTCCCAGATTTCAATACTTAAATATCTAAAGACATGCCAAAAAGTCAAAAGCAGAGAACAATCTCGATTGGTTGATCTCGTTTCTGCAGCCATGGTGATTCCCTGGAGTTCGTATGGCAGACCATATCAATCAAAAGAAAATCAGGAAGCATTTACACAAGTTTTTCTTAGAA